ATGTGTAAGAAGATTATATAACCTGAACCCTTTGGTGGCCATGAGGGTGACCCAGAAAGACACATGGGTTAGACCTAGGGTCCAGTTTTGTGCGTGTGGCTTTGATGGTTGCAGCATGAGTGAGACAACCAAAAACCCTTAAATGGTCTAAAGTAGGTGGGGAACCATATAACTTCTCAAAGGGAGTGAGATTGTTTAGAAGAGAGGAAGGTGTTCTGTTGATTAAGTGAACATCATGCATAGCTGCAAAATTCCAGAATTGTTTTGGTAAGGAAGCTTGAAACAACAAGGCTCTAGTGACAGCAAGTATATGTTGATGTTTTCGTTCAACAATACCATTTTGCTGTGATGTGTATACACTAGTGGTTTGGTGAATGGTTCCTTTTGAACTATAAAAGTCTGGAATTTGGAACTCAAGACCATTGTCAGTTCTAATGGTCTTAATTCTGCTATGGAACTGAGTTTCAACAAAGGAAAAGAAAGACATGATAATAGGTCTGGCTTCATACTTGGACTTCATTGTAAAAATCCATGTATGTCTACTGAAGTCATCTACTATAGTTAGGAAATAAGCATGACCCTGTAAAGATTTGACAGGAGCATTTCCCCAAATATCAACAAGAATTATGTCAAAGGGAGCAGTTGTTTGGCTAGTGCTAGAAGGAAAGGGAAGTCTCTTTTGTTTTGCTGTTGGACAAACCATACAATGAAAGTCTGAAGAAGTAGAGATAGTACTATCAAGACAGTTGAAAAACTTAGTCTTAGAAGTAGGTACATGACCAAGTCTATAGTGCCATACATCAATAGATGGTTTGGTACTGGAAAAAGCTACAGATGGTAAAGCAACTTCTTTTATGTTGAGGTTTAGACCATGTTGAAGCTGGGCAGTTTGAGAGGGGTGGTGTAGAATGTATAAGCCATCAAGGAGACTAGCTGTTCCAATCATTGTCAAACTGGGGTAGGCCTGTATGAAGCAGAGAGAGTAATGGAACCATAAGCAAATGGTAGAACTCCTGACTAATATGCTAACAGAAACCAGGTTGAAGCTAAAAGTTGGAACATACAGAACATCATAGAGAATTAAGTGTTCTGAGTATTTCACAGTTCCTATGGCTTCTACAGCAACCTTGCTACCATTAGGCATATGCACAAATATTTTTTGACATTTTTATACTGATGAAAATGTTTCAAGGAGCAAATAATATGATATGTGGCTCCTGTGTCCAGAATCCACTTGTCCTGGAGATAGCAATTAACATTAAGTGCATAATGAATGGTACCTGAAGGTTCAGTAGTGGTAAAAACATGAGAAGCAACAGAATTGTTTCTGCTGACTGTATTGTGATGCCCTGATCCTTCACTCTCATGGGAAGCTGAGTAGTGTGGAGGATTGTTGGCAGTGTATGCCTCATGAAAAGCTCCTGGTGATGGGAAGTTCTGCTGTGCAGGAGCAGTTGGCTGTGGAACTGGATGCTGATAGGTATGCTGCTGTGAATAGGGATTCATAATGCTGAGCATCTTCTGATATTGCTGTTGGAAAGTCTGCCAATCAGATTGATTGATAACTACTGTTCCAGCAGATGATGACCCAGGATCAGCAGAAACGCTATTAGCTTGCCTAGTTGGCTGTTTCTTCTTGGATTGATAACCAGGAGGATATCCATTCTTCTTGTATCAGATATCTTCAGTGTGACCTGTATACCCACAGAAAGTGCACACTGGTTTCTTGCCCTGCTTCTTGAACCCTTGACCAGCACCTTGAACACCCAAATTCTGTCCTAAAGCCTTAGTAAAGAAGGCCATGCTTTCTGAAGCAGGACTGGGGTTAGGCTGGGGTTTAGGTAGTAAACCATTCTCCCTTTCGTGTTGCACCATCATAGCAAACACCTTGTTGATAGGAGGTAAGGGATCTAAGAGCATAACTGTGGATCTTGGACCATTAAAGCTATCATTCAGATTACGCAAGAACCTAATTACTTTGTCATTCATGTAATCTTTGCGTAGAGATGCTAGCACACAATGACAAGTGATTCCACAATCACAATGAGGAATGAATCTGTAATTCGCTAACTGATCCCATAATGCTCGTTGCTTAGAATAGTACTGAGAAACACTCATGGTACCTTGCTTGAGGTTGAAGATGGCCTCTTGAAGATCAACAATGCGGAAAGAATCACCTTGCGAGAACTGTTCGCGCAGCTCACACCAAGCACCAATGGCGGTGGTGACATACAGAATGCTCTCGGCGATGGTAGGATTGACAGATCTCTGAATCCAGGTGAGGAGCAGTTTGTTGTTCCTATTCCAAGACTCGAAGAGAGGAGAATCGTCATTTGGCTGCGAGATTTTGCCATTCAGGAACCCTAATTTGTTCTTGCCATCGATAACAAGAACCATCGATCGTTCCCAGCTGGAGAAATTGTTCTCTGTAAGTGGTTGGGAAACAAGGCATTGCCCCCAATTCTCCGATGGATGAATGAAGAACGGCGAAGCTAGATCGGAAATTGGGACGCCTGTGTACAGAATCACACCAGAATTGCTCTGGCGACCTCCAGTGTGAGGATTTGTGGCTTCGTCGCCAGAAGAAGAGGAATCGTGAATCGCCATAGGAGGACGATGTCAAGAACTCAAAGAGAGCTCTGATACCATGCTAGTTTTCTGAATTGCTTCTCTTATTACTGAATCAATCGAAGGAAAAACGTAATGAATCCAGGATGTAGAGCTGGATTTATAGTACAGACTACAGGTAAGAATCAAGGAGGGAAAAACCGTTATGGTCATAACAACCTTGACCATATTACCTTTTACTACCTATACTAATTCTAGTTACAATCATCTTATCTAACTTTACAAGTTGACCTATATCATCCAATACCAATCCCAATCTCAATACCTAAATATTGCGGTATCCCAATCGGTACTTCGATATCCCAATCGGTATTATCGAATACAAAATTAATTACATTTGAAATAAATAATTAAATATATAAATTAGATTTAAATGTTTAATTTAGGGCAAAGAAACTAAGCAAAGAGTGTTGAATTTTCCTAGAGCTAGGATATGGATAAGGAGAATGAAGGAGAGATGACATTTCAAGTTCTTGTCATTGGTAATCTTTAATTTGACGAATTGAAGGCTGAGAGTCGACTAATACTACTATTTGCTTTTTGGTGTTATGAAAATAACTAGTTATTAGGTGAGAGTGACTCAAATAGGAAAGTCAAAATTGAGTTGGATGGGGACTTATGAGTTGTGAAACAAATATTAAATGATCTATGTATAATTAAATGACACTTTTGGTGGTTGAAGGTTGTGTAGCAGTGAATGAGAGAGTCTAGTTGAGAGGATAAAATACACACTAGCTTATATTTTAGTATTGATTGGTATTTCTGTATATACAGATCCCAATCACGTAATCCCTAATACCAAATTACAATTGAAATTCAATCTCAATCCCAATCCCAAGAAATAATACGTATATTCAATAATACTAAATATAAACAAATTTGATACGGTATTCGATATATTTCAAATACCGATACCAAACTTCCAGACCTAGTTACAATTATCATTCATAACTTCTAGCCGTTTCTGCTCTGGAAGCCGCTAAACATTAATCATTTTTGCCACGTTGACCAGAAGTCCATATCCTCTAGTCTTGATTTACAGGGAAGTTTCCAGAAGATAGATATTATGATTCGACAAATATAATCGTAATTGTTTTACAGATACACTTGCTTAAAATTTCATTCAACAAATACAACGGTAACAGTATATCGATATTGTCCTATTTAGGATAGTGTTAAACTATACATGAACATGCCATAACCATACAATTTTACTTTATAGGAAAAGATATCCGAGGAATTTTACAATGATTAAAAGTATTTTTATTTATTATTTGGTTTTAGAATACGATTTGAAATTGTACATTTAATATTATGGTACAAGTTCAACTTGTATGTATACTATTTTGTATAAATATCTTTATAGTACAAATTAAAGTTGTATTTTTATGTTATGGTACAATTTGAACTTATTCTGTAACGTAAATATACAAATTCACTTATGGTATAACTTCAATTTGTACTTTAAGTTGTACTTTAAAACATAGTAGAAGCGATCAAGAAATCCAACCAAATTGATAAACATATAGTATGAGATTATGATTAATCATGAATAGTGAGTGGTAAGCTTTTTATTTTTCCTAGTTTTTTTTCGTTCCAACTTTGATTCCAAAACTTTTTGCAAAAATGGAATGGATTCATTATGATCTAGAAAATGAGATTCATTTTCAATATATTTTGAGATAAAAATTTAAGTCACTCATTACCACCTTGGTTTATAACAAATCTTGCACAGAAGGAACGAGCTCATTGTGAACTATCAAATCTACAAATTCCTAGAGAAAAAATTCAGAGCCAAATATACCACATTGTACCACCATGGTATAGAGTGGTAATTTGTGGCAGACAATGATGAAATGTGATAAATAACAATTAATATATCCCTACGGTAATGCATACAAACATTCTAAACTATAATATATCAAAATATATAAAAGTGGATGTTATTTATTTTGAGGAACACTATTAAACGGATTTTTGTGTAAAAGTGGAAAGTCAATCATAAATTTTTATAACTTTATATGATTTATTTTACTTGAGCAAATTATTGTGGAGCCGGAAGCGGACAGCTCAAAGCAAGCCCAAAATTGAGAAGTCTCCATTTTGTTTGGAATCCAAGATCCATCGGCCCATCACAGCATTCGAAACTCCATTTGTCAAAATAAAAAAAAAGCATTCGAAACTCCACATCACCCAAATTTTGGCATCTAAGCTATAATAAATCCAAAATTTTCCACTTGTGTTGTGTGGCCGTTATGCATTCTTCACTTGCTCCATCTCATCTCATTCTATCCTCTTCCTCTTTCACGCACTCCCAAACAAGAAGCTCTTTTCCCATCTATAAATAAAATTCGCACACCCTTTTGCCATACTCCAAGCCATCGCCATTCTGAATTCTGGGACACTCCAAAACAGAACGTTGCTTTCACCATCTTGCCATATCCGGCTTCCTTCCATCCTTGCCAGCTTTGGCACTTTGCTGGGTCTATAAAACAACGTTATGGCTGCTGCTTCTACTACATCTCTCTCTACCGTCGGATCAGTGAACATATCATTAACGGTCGGTAACCCCCTGTTTTTCCCGCGCTTTATTTTTCTTCTCTAGTTTCCTTCGTTCCTTCTTTTCTATCTCTGGTATTGCTTTGGCTGCCAAATTCCACCAGTCTTCATTTGGGTTACAATTTTCTTTTTGGATTGATGACTATTAAGTTATAGCATAAAAGGTGTACTTTATGCTCTATTCGCCATCAAGTTCAGATGGCCCCAAAACTTCCTATCTATTAACTATCAAAATTGTGTTCTTTTCTTCGTGCGAAATTCTGGCCAGTTGATATCATAGAAATCACCATCGCTTTAGCTATTGTCGAACCTATCCAAGAATCTCAGGATGATGTATTTATTGCTATCATCGTCCACCGTTCAATAAACTTGGCTTTCATCGTAGTATGTCGACTAAGTTAAATTCTCAGAGATGGGATTTGTGATTCACCTGCGATCTTGTAATTTGCAGTTCAATTTGAACACTTGTAATGGAGCTGGACCATCAGCGACGCCAACTTCTACCTTCTTCGGAAACACCTTGAAGAGCAAGCTAAGCTCCAAGGCCCCAAAATCGTGTGGAAGTTTCAAGATTTGGGCAGAGTGCGATGAGAAGAAGCAGACGGACAAGGACAGATGGAAGGGACTCGTCAGCGACATGTCCGACGATCAACAGGACATTACGAGAGGGAAAGGAATGGTGGACTCCCTATTCCAAGCTCCCCTGGGTACAGGGACCCATAACCCCATCATGACCTCATACGACTACATCAGCAAAGGCCTTCGCCAGTACGACTTCCCCATTAATTCATAGCCATAGCCAGTCAATCATCTTGCCCAATTACTTTGTTTCTAATCACATTCTCTGTCTTACTCTGTTTCTCAGGTTTGACTTGGACAACAGCATGGACGGTCTCTACATTGCTCCCGCGTTTATGGACAAGGTTGTGGTTCACATCACCAAGAACTTTTTGGCTCTTCCCAACATTAAGGTTTGTACTGCTCACACTAGTTAGTATGTAAAAATCTTATCTTGGGAAGAGAAGACTCATCTATTAATCAAAGCTCGAAACTTGATGGCAGGTTCCGCTGATCTTGGGTATTTGGGGAGGCAAAGGCCAAGGGAAGTCGTTCCAGTGTGAGCTCGTCTTCAAGAAAATGGGAATCAAGTGAGTCTCACTTTCCAATTTTAATTAATTATTACTTGAGCAACCCAATTTGGGCTAAAACCGAGTTCATGAATGAATGAATTCAGCCCCATAATGATGAGCGCCGGAGAATTGGAGAGCGGGAACGCTGGGGAACCGGCGAAACTAATCAGGCAGAGGTACCGCGAAGCCGCAGACATAATCAGGAAAGGAAAAATGTGTTGTCTGTTCATCAACGACCTGGATGCAGGAGCTGGACGGATGGGAGGGACGACCCAGTACACGGTGAACAACCAGATGGTGAACGCCACTCTGATGAACATTGCTGACAACCCCACCAACGTCCAGCTCCCTGGGCAGTACAACAAGGAGGAAAACCCTCGAGTCCCAATAATCGTCACCGGAAATGACTTCTCCACACTGTACGCGCCCCTAATTCGCGACGGCCGCATGGACAAGTTCTACTGGGCGCCCACCAGGGAGGACCGTATTGGAGTGTGCAGCGGCATCTTCCTCATCGATAACGTGCCCATGGATGACATTGTTCGGCTAGTGGACACTTTCCCCGGCCAGTCCATTGGTAATATATCACATTCATTCTTGGATTTCTCTCTAGTTATTAATCATGTTTCTTGACATTTTTGGTGCATGGGAACAGATTTCTTCGGGGCGTTGAGGGCTCGGGTGTACGACGATGAGGTGAGGAAGTGGATCGGTGGGATTGGTGTGGAGAACATCGGGAGGAGGCTGGTGAACTCCAAGGAAGCGCCTCCGACGTTCGAGCAGCCCAAGATGACGCTGGCCAGGCTGCTCGAGTATGGCAACATGCTGGTGCAGGAACAGGAGAACGTTAAGAGAGTTCAGCTAGCTGACAAGTACCTGAAAGAAGCAGCGCTTGGTGATGCTAATCAGGATTCCATCAACAATGGAACTTTCTATGGTCAGTAGTTACCTTACCTAGCTGTTTGAAGGCAGTTAATGCTTTTCACAAAGATGTGAATAGTGAGATATAGGGAAGGAGGGGCATTGTAATGCATGTGTTGGGTTTGGTTGCAGGGAAAGCAGCTCAGCAAGTGAACCTCCCTGTTCCGGAAGGCTGCACCGATCCTTCTGCCCACAACTTCGACCCCACGGCTAGGAGCGATGATGGGAGCTGTGTTTATCAGTTTTAAGGTCTGTGCATCAGCAAGTAAACACAAAACAAACGGTAAATGACGGGGGAATAATCAGTATTCACTATCCCGTAATCATTTTGGAGGTAATGGTGAATTTTAGATATAAGGAATTGCATAAAGACATATATAATATAATATTGGACAAAATTAAAGTGAAGGAGGATACTTTCTTTTGCTCTTTGGACTTGTCTGTTTAGTGCAACATAACAGTGGATGCTACTGAGCCTGTGGGCGTCAAGATCCAACCAACTGACGCCATAATAAACAAACTTTTGAAACTAAAGATAATCTACCCATCATCCACTTGCAACTAGAGGTGGCAGATGGATCGATCCATGGATTTGTGGATTGGATTGGATTGATGGATTCATGGATCAAATGGATTGGATCCAATGGATTGGTGGATTCATGGATTGGATCAAGTGGATTGGTGGATTATCCATTAATCCAAATGACATCCTCAACCTTGGACCAATATGTAAAATGTGAAAAGTTTAGGTACTAGAATGTCGTAATGAAAACTTTAGGTACCAAAACATAATTTTCCAATGAGATTTTTTGTATAAAATATTAAATTTTAGGTACCAAAATGTAAGATATAAAAAGTATAGGTACCTAACCGTAATTTGCCATTTGGATCCATGGATTGATCCATAAATCCACCCATCCAATTGGATTTGGATTAAATGGATTGGATTTAAATGGATTGTATTAGGTGGATATTTTTAATAGGTTGGTGGATTGGATTGGTGGATTGGATTGAGAATTGCCACCTCTACTTGCAACCATTATTGTGGGTGGAGCTCATTGGAGATTCGGATTCAGTTAGCAACATGGGCAGTACTACATCCAAATCGGTCTTCAACTTTCTCACACTACTCAAATCACCACCAACAGTCGATTGGCTGACAAAACTGAACGAGCTGAAGTAGTCCGTGGTTCCCTGAATCTATTTTTCTCTTACAACATTCATACAAACAAAAGGAGAATTTGCCTTTCCGCAGCATAAACGACACTTTCTTTAATCTCTGTAACAGCCCATGTGCCTTAAAATTGATTCTCCATGCTTTTGCCTGGAAAGTCGACTGTCTCCCTTCCCCATCACTCCCCCAGGCCGCCTTCGTCTCTATTCTTCAACCAATAATACCAACTACATCGTCGATTCGCTCTACTTCCAGGGATTCAAAGATTTAGCAGCAGCTTCCAACTTGACCTTAACCGGAACAGCCCAAATTAACCCAAATGGTATTCTCCGTCTAACCAACGACACAAACAGAGTCATGGGCCAGACCTTCTACCCTTCCCCGTTCCTTTTCAAAACCGACAATGGCACCAACAAAGTCGTCTCCTTCTCCACTAATTTCGCCCTCGCCATCGTCCCCAAATACCCAAAACTCAGTGGCCACGACATGGCCTTCACCATCTCCAGCTCCACCATCCATCTCATCATCACTCTCCCCAGCCAGTACTTGGGCCTCTTCAACGCCACCGACCTTGGCAACATCAGTACTACCCACACATTCGCTGTCGAGTTCGACACCGTCAAGGATTTCGAGTTCGGAAACATTAACGACTACCACATTGGCATCGACCCTGACAGCTTAAGGTCCAATGATTCCCTTGCCGCTGCCTATTATTGTAACACTCTGACCTTTGGGTTTAGGTTCAACCTTAATACGTGATCGGTTGGGTTGACGGTTAAGTACTAAGAGTTACAACCGCGGATTAAGAATAATAACAATATTATTTACTATTATTATCAATTAAAAAAAACATATAATGGGCGGCCAGAAAGGACCGAGCGGCCCTCCATCTAAAATTCCCCAGCTCCTATTAACCCATCCCAAAATCCTTCACAGCAGCTGCCATCCCTGCTCCTCGTGTCCCAACCGCCGCCATCCCTGCTCCTCATCGCGGGCGGGAAGAAAAGAAGAAGTAGCCGTCGTACCCTATTCCCGATCCCATCCCTTCCGTGTTTCTAGCGGTGACGTTTGAGGGTTCGATCATCGATCGACGAGGAGATCAACGTCCCGATCCATCCAATCTAGTCCTAGGCACGTTCTAGAGGAACTCGATCCCTTTGAGTTAGATCGATTAATTTGGGGATTTTTCGTGAGGGTGCAATTCTGGATTTTTAGTAACAGACGTTACAGGCTTTTAGTGATAGATTTTGTGTTGTCTCTAAAGCTGCTGGAATTTGAAGAAACTTAATTTGGATGTTTTAAATTGTTTCGAGCCTCTGTGGGTGTTTGTCCCTAGGTTTCACAATTTTATAAATTGAGGGAAGTCTAGGAGATGGCTGTAATTTCATTTGGGGATTTTTGAAGATGTATTTCTCTTATAAGACATATGGATAAATTTTTTGAGATGATAGGTCGACATGTTTCCGATATTGTCAACCCAGATTCATTTAAACTTGTGGCTAAAACAGTGTCGTTAGAGACTAGCAAATGTCATGTTGGTTCTCATGTGAACTCTATTGTTTTCATGGACATAAAAGTTAGAATTGTCTTGCGAAAGCCACAACAAAGAGCGAAATTTAAACTTCTTTATAATAAATTTCAGAAAATTAGGAAATACAAGTGTGATATCTTGAAAGATGACAAATTTTACAACGTTATTCAATCTAAGACATTAGGGGGGCATGTCATACCATCTCGTGGTAGATTGAAAGAGAAACAACACCGTAAGTGGCAAATAATTTTGCCACATTCCTGTTCTAGGAAAAATCAAATTAGGGTCACCACATACACTATTCATGATGGAGGTGGTGACCACGTGAAAAAAGTCAATGCCATGAAAGTTGGCATGATTCAAGCAGATTCCTTTGTGTAAATTGTCTCCAAACACTCCACCTAGTGAAAAGGGGAGCAAGTTCAATCAAACCTGACATAGAGTTGCCACACCAGTGTCAACGAGGAACAAGTCTGCCATGAATGGTGGACTGAGGGGCAAGTCCATTGCCCAACAAACTCCAATCTCATGTACGAGCTCAAAAGACGCGAAGCTGCAGTGTGATATGTGCAAGGATCACGGTCGTGGTAAATAAAGTACAAACAAACGTGTCGATGAAGCTCGCAAGACTTGGTGCTCATACTACCAACAACATTATGAGAGTGTGTAGCTGACAAAACAAGACCAGCTTGAGCAAGCGATGCCGCATGGTCTACTTGACAAGACAAAGATGCCAAAAAAGGTGAATGTCTTGTCGAAAGCAAAGACCACTGGTGATTTTTTATGTTCTCAACCAAAAGCGATGGTTGAGATGAAGCCAAATCGAGCTCGTAAAATTTCGAACAAGGATGTTTTAGCAAGATCCAACTATGACTTCAAATCTTCTCACTCGTGTGTAAAGCCAGCTATGAAGAGTCATGGCATCATGGGATAGCATGTTTGGTTTGATCAGTTGAGTTGGCAGTGAGTGTGGACCTTTGGCATGATGGTTTACGTCAAAGTCTAGTTTTTTTTAGCTTTAAAAAAATAATGTGGCTAAATTAGGCCACGTAATAAGTTATAAAAAAAATTCATAAAAAATATAATCAAGCTGCATTGTTAAGAAGAAGCCACAACGTTATTGGCAATGGTTGAAGATGACCACCAGTGTCGTTTCCGCTTTTCTCAACAGTGTTGGCGGGATGCACAATGCTGTGGAAACAAAAGTTTTATTTTAAAAAAAATGCCGCCAAGACAACGCTGTTAAGAGAGAAAAATGGGTTGTTTGAAAAATAGTTTTCCATGAAGGAAAACAACATTGTGTCTATAGGATTGATGGGACGGTAGATGAAAACAAGGCTGCACTAAATAACTGAATAATAATGGTGCATGTCGTTTTATCAGGATGGCTTGCGAGCCAAATTTTGTAGTGCCGCGGAAGAGAGAGAAAGCTCAAACAGGTTTGTGAAGCTTGTGGCAACTTTGCAGGGGAAAAAACGTTGTTGTTTACGTAGAACAACGTTGCGTGGCTGTCAAAACATAAAGACGGTATCGTTTGGCTAAGCAATAAGTAAAAAAAAATATATAAAAAATTTATTAAGCGGTGTTGGCAAGCTTGCTGCGGCGTTGCGGTCTTGAGGCCAAGGGAAATCTTGTTGGGAGGTTTTAGCCTGCTGTGGGTCTTTTTGTTTGTGCTCTCTTTCTTTCCTGTAACTTTTCTTCTTTCCCTTAGACTTTGTATCTTTTCTTAGCGGGTTCTCACGCCTTGTGAGATCTTGTTTTTGAACCTTCCTTTTTAATTAATTAAGTTCATCATCATTATAAAATAAATAGATACGTAAAAGAAAAAAAATGCAATGTTTGGCATGGGGCATTGCCGTGGCTTAGGATACAGTGAGTAACCAAAGGTTACTCATCCATCAGTAATCAAATGGGAACCGTAGATCTGAGTCAGGAAACATAGTGTGGTTGATATTGACGTGAGGTGGGGGAGGGGCATTTTTGTCCGATTTTTGAAACTTTATTTTTTTCCCCAGCCTTTATATGCTCACTTTGAATTGAGGAAAGAGAAAAACCAGATTTCTTCCTCTCTTTTTTTTTCTCTTTCTCTCTTCCAAACAGTTTTTTTCCAGATCTAGATCTGTTCCCTTCTCTTGTTCTTCATTTTTTTCTCCAATCGACAAAGAAAAAAATTGCAGCCTCCCCTCTCAAATTCGGTGACGCTTCAAATCGTTCTTCTCTCAATCTGCTCGTTCCTTCTGTTCTTTCTTTTCTCGGCCTCAAAATAGATGATGCACCATATTGACCAAGAGTGGACAGATCTAAGTGAGTCGAGTTTGCATGTTTTATATTTTAGAATTTGTTTGTGAATTTTCAATTCCGATCTTCCTCCTATTTTTTTTCTTTTTTTTTTTTGTATTTGGTGTTCTTGATTGTGGAAGAGGAAATGAGAGGAGACAGAAGACGAGTTTTTTTTTCTCTCCCTCATTCTGTTTTTCTTCGTTCTTTTAGGTAATATATATTGATATTTTACCACACTATACCATATGATAATGTATGCTAACTAAATGTATTTTTATGGTCACGAGTTTTATCATGATGGTAGTGGGTGGTAATTGACAACAGTTCTGAGAAAGAAGAGTTAGAAGACAATGAAGTGGGAGAAGAAAGTGAAGAGAGTCATAATTGTATATATATATATTGAGATTACCACACTATACCATATGGTAATGTGTCTATACCATATGGTAAAGTGTCGTAACAAAATGTATTTTTATGGATATAATGTTTTCCTATGGTTGTAGAGGGTTGTAATTAGGTTTATATTATTTTCGTATGGTTTTACC